CCCCAAAACCCCAAAACCCCATAAATCTCCAATAGTAAGTTTTTGATAAAAATTAAAATGAAATTTAATATAGTACTGAATAGAATTAAAGTCTAATTATATGCCTATTTAACTTTATTAGATAGCTATATGATAATAGGAATAATACTAATGTTAAGAGATAAGAAAGTTTAACTAAAATATCTAAAGATGAGTAAATAAATCAAGGCGGCAGAAGCATTGAACGAGACTATCAGGCAACTACAGCTGAGCATTAAATAAAGCAATAAATGTACAGATTATAATTCATTATATTGACTTTTAGAAATCTTGACTGCAAAAATATAGCCATTAAATGATCTAGAAAATCCAATTATTCCTAAGTAGAAATTATTCTGGAAGTCATCTTTAGCTGCCGCCTTGTTGTGGGGTAGTGGCAATTTCGCTTTAAGCTTGATTAAGAACAAGGACTTTGCTGTGAGTTGCCTAGTCTGGACAGGTTTCGTCATAACGAGTCTTATATTTCAGTTGTGCTAATTTGCAATTGCGAAGAAAAATAAAGTTTAGATATCATTATTTGGCAAATTTTTTGAATAACTCTATCACAGACAAAAACTATGCCATACCATATTGAGATCGATAAACTATTTTCTTGTGATTTGGCTGACAATACTTATTGCAGAAATATGCGAAACTTCTCACGTTAATTTTGGACTAATCATTTGCGTTTTCTCATCAAGTATTGTTTTCTAGGTGATTATATTTCGATTGAAATTTCAAGAAAAACTCTCCAAACTTAAAATTGCAGGAATCCTCATAATTATTACTGGGGTAATTTTTATCACTCTTTCAAGTTAAGGTAATTAAACATACGAAGATTTCTCAGAAAATTTCAAGAGCAGTGGAGATAAAAAGATCATTATACTTGCTATTGGAATTGCTCTGATAATAGCTGCTTTAAACTGTATAAGAGTAGTCCAAGCAAAATATATTGATTAATACTTGGATTACCCACCAATTTAATTTTCTCTAGATGGAGCCTTGATTTGTGGAGGGTTTTAAGCAATTATATCTATTTATTACGTTATTGAAGGACATCCTAATTATTCAGGCTTCAATTATTTGATATGCTTTATTGCAGGTGCACTTTTGTAGGGTTAGAGTTTATTATCCTTGCATGCTGCAGTCAAAGGACTAGCGGCTCCTTGCTCGGCTATTGTAAATACTCATTCAATTGTTTCAACAATTTTGATTGCACTGTTTACTGGCATTATCCCATCAATTTATTAGATTATTGGATTTGTTATCACATTACTGGGAGTTTTATCAGCAATATTAGGTTGATAGGCTAATGAACACTATATGATAAATGCATATATATATATATTGGTATTAATTTGCTTTTGAAACTAATTCCATTTATTCCATATTTGATGATTATAATAGCCTTAGGGGTTTTGGGGTTTTGGGGTTTTGGGG